ATCTTTAAGTGACAGTTGGCCAATGTTTAAGTTCAGTAATTTTCATCTATGTTCACAAGAAATTGTTGACAAGTAATGAATGACAAGCCATACATAGATTTAATTGAGGTGTTATTGGTGCTACCTATATGCATATTCAGGAGGTTATAATAAAAATGCAAAGATCAGAACGTTACTTTAATTGACTTGAAATTAAGGGATCAAGACCTGCAGCTGATGAAGTGTTGGTCCACAGTAAAAGTACTGGTCTGCCAACACATTAACTACTGTGACCGAATTTTATTTTGCGACAGATAGTCGTTTTCTATATTTATGTTGGAAACTTCCTGTGTGGTGGAGCCTCGAGCGAGTTAGCATTTAACAGAGTTAGATCACGCTCACTGGCCGTGGACCAGTGTCCAGTTCCCACTGTTACTGGTCCATCGTTGATTGTGTTGCTATTGTAGCTTGGTTTGTGAAACTGGTTTTGCTGTGGCCAGATCTTAGCAAGATCGTCAGTCTCTCTGTTCTCTTGGGCTAGGCTGCATTTTCCAGCTATTTGATTAGGGTTAGTGGCTAGTGGCAAAAGCAAAATTGTAATTGATTCATGTGCTGGTTGGTTGTATCAACTGAGCTGTAACTGAAGGGTTCATTTTTGTGAAAAGACCCTTGGGACTCACATTAGTCATCTGTTTTCAACATAGTAAAGTCTGATACTTCAGGCAACATGCAGGCATCATCTGTGACCTCATTACTCCCGGCCATGTAGAAAGTAAGTAATTCAGACACATTTAATTTGTTTTTTCATAAACTTGGTACGTTTCTACACTGAGGTTGTATTGAGAATATTGTGATAATGCATTTAAGCAGGAAAATGGGAAGCTTTGCTATCTGAACTTGTGGGGCCCAGGAAATGACATCACTAGTTAATTACCTACCACTGGGAGTCTCTGAATAGACTTACACGGCAGATCTGGGAACCTATACATTTGACTTTGCCACTGGATAGGTTTAGCAATTTAACCCAATGTCTTTCCCAGTGGTTAAATGGATTTCAGGCGATGCATTTGTTTTTTTTATGGTTTCCAGCATTTTCGAGGTTTCATCTTATTTGGCTGTGGATTTAAGGAAGCTGATGAATTATTCAGAATATTCTTGATTTTCTAGAATATTGTGTATGTCTTCTAAAACCAAACTACAGCATACATGGTTGCATTCAACAGTACTTTTTAATGTAAATGTCTTTAAGTTTTGTGCAGTGCAAATTGTTTGATTAGCACAAGAAACAGGAATGCCGTCATAATGTAGAGTAGGACTCCTAGTTGAGAACTCTTCACCTGCTTCAGTAAGCTGTTCGTCCCAGTTTCAGAGCTTTCTCACCAGTTTAGGTGTTTAACAAGTAAATCAGAAGGACTGAGTCCTTGGTTAAAACTGAAGAGTGGGATGTTGTTTGTTTTCACTTTGAAGTAGTCCACTTCCGTGAATCTTAGATTAACTTCTGCAGCCACTGATGCACAAGCTGGTATAATGACAACAGTGAGGTGTGAACCATGAAAATATTCTTCTGTTCCATTTTTACATCCTGAATGCACAAAAGGCTTAGTGATGCACATGGTCAGCATCTCATACGACCCACAGATTCATCAGTAATATTTGTTAGTGATACATGGATGGATGGTTGGGTAATTTTATACTGGAATAATGAAGTGTCTTGCAGTATTAGGCCAAAATGGATTCAGCAGCAATATTGTGTTATTTATAAGTATTTCATTCGAAGATTAACTATAGGTTTTGGAGAATGAGTGTATTGCTTTCTGCCAAGGGCATAGAGCAAAATGCAAAGCAAAGTGTGAAAACTGATAAGACAGTACAGAGGTTGAATCATTTATCATTAACCCAGTCTTCAGATTGGCCCCTCTATCCTCAGATCATTAGCTATACGGTAGTAATAATGTTAGCTGAAAATATTACCCAAAAAAATGTCAGTTTGGCTTGTGTCTGTATCAGAAGGTTGAGGGTTCAGAACCTCTCAAGTCTCCAGTGCGACTTGAGCTTTGAGTCTAGGTTGACATCTCCCTGTTGTTGGGGGGAATCCTACATTGTTGGAGTTGCCATCCTTGGGATGAGATGTTACATTGTCTGTTCATGTGGATGTTAAAGATTACTTGACAATATTGGAAAAGGGAAGGGAGTTTCATCCAGCTTCCTTGCCAATAATCTCCAGATAAACTGGTAGTTCACTTCATTATTGTTTGTGGGATATTGCTATTTGCAAATAGCTGCCCCGTTTGCCTACAGTCAATGCACCAATTCGTTTTGGAGTGCTTTGAAATATTTTGACATTATAGGGTGCAAGGTAGGGTGTAGGGAGGTATTTTATGATCCACTGTTTTCTTATTTTGCCCTCCCAGCCCACTGGTCCAGTGAAGATAGAACGAGTAGGTGTGATCCTGAGGAACGCTGCTGCATTTTCGAGGAACAATATTGCCTCAGACTGTGGAAAGCTTGAGATTGGACCTATACTGTTGCTTGATCTTGTGATTTATTACAAGTTCATTGCTTTTTCTCGGACGTGGAGAGATTCCAGACAAATATTGGATATGAATGTAGTAAATTTCTGTCTTGTTGAGGAGAGTGTAGATTGTTACACTGAATTCATTCATTTTCTTCTTACTAAATGGATGTTTTAATTGAGAGTGATTGCTGCAGATAACCACTCCCTCCTATTTCAGATATAACATTTAAAATATATCATAATCGTTTGTCCAATAAAGGTTAGGCAATGTGCATGATGTAGTGGTGTTTAAAAGAAATTTACACTAGAAACTCGCTAATCTGATCATCAAACTGACTGAGGAATTCCTGGCTTCTAGTCTCCACAGAAATGTACAGGAACCTCAAATCTGATGCTTCAGTTAACTGTTTAGATTTTTTNCCCCTTTGAAAGGAAGAGCAGACCCAAACCCATCATGGCTTTCCATCATCATCATCCCACTCATCATAGATTACGATTGAACCTATGATTCACTAGCACAACCACATGGTAAATTTGCTCATTGAGTCCCAGGGAGAGCTGCTCTAATATCTACCATCTTTAAGCCCTGTCATTTATAGAAATCAAAATAATAAAAAGAGACTGTATGTTCGTTATCATTGCGCAAAACTAAAACAATATTCGAAGTTTTAATACCAATATTTTCTGTTTCGTTACCCCTGGGATTAGTCAGTGTCACGTTATTATAGCTTCTTCACAGTTCCAGTTTTGTGTCGATAATTTCTACCAGTATTTACAGTTACTGCAAAGAAAATTCTTTGGGGTTAAAACAGACTACTATTGTTGGGATTACTTCTAAGTGGTCCAAGAACGAATATCTCAGAATAAATGAAAACAAATTTCAGACTTGTATTATCTATCCAGACAATATGATTTTTAATTACATTTAAGCTTTGAAAATGTACATAATATATTTCCCTTGAGCTTTTAAAGATTTTCTTCAGATGCCTTGTTCCTGTTATGGGATATCATTTTGTCCAAAAACTTGTCATAAGTAATAATCATTTGCAGAAGTTATGGTTATTTAAAATTTGAGGCATAAGTGATTTGAAGATTATTGAAATATTCTAGATAATAGATTGCTGGCTTTGACGATGTCTTAAACCACAAGAGCTTTACTTGCCGACAACAATTTATTGTTCTTTATAATGTGTAGTTCATTGAAAAGTTCAAAAAGTTCCCCTTTTTTTTGAAAACCCATGTTGAGCAATAGTATACGTGCAAACATTCAAATGAAAGGATGCACGTAGATCATGTAATGCTTTGGACGTTCAGCTCTTTCTGGTTCAGTGGTGGCGCTCTTGCCTCTGGGTCAGAAGGTGGTGGGTTCAAGCCCCACATCTGGATTTGGAATTACATTGTCTAAGATGACACTCCGATGGAGTGCTGGACATGTGTTACGTTGTCGGAGGACATTTCTGTGTGTAAATTGACTGCCATGTTTCACCCACAAAATACACAGTCAATCCACTTTACGCTTTGAGATGCAAGGCTGTATCTCAAATGCAAAGATTATTATTTTTCAACCAGCCGACCATCAAAGTATTCTATATTTCTATGCGGTGTATATAGAATAATCAATATCTAGAGCAGTTTAGAGCAGTTATCTAATTAGGAGGTTTAGTGAAGGTTTATAATTGAAATCTGAGTCATGAGATAAAATTACTGAACTATTATTCAAGTAATTTTTAAAAGAATACTCTGTATAGAGGTTTATTTGGGTTTATTTTGTATTTTGATCTGTGTTTAGCAAATATTATTGAGGACTGCCATTGCACTTTAATAAGCCTAAGATTAATAGTTATGATGTTTTATTGAACGTCTGTATTGCAACATAATTTCTTATTTACAAAATAAAAACTTGTGATACTGTGTTGCAGAAAATTTCACAGAATGCTAACATTTAGAAAAGGTTTCTGTTTGACTGTTATACTGCGACATGTCATATTAGAAATACAAAGCAAATCACTGATCACCGTGCAGAACACTTAAAGAACACTTAAGGGAAGTCCCCTAATGGTCACAAAATGTGGGTAAAAACAGGGTTTGCTCGGTTCAGAAAAATGAATACCAAATTATGATTGAACGTATATTGGGGGTGGGAAGGGAAGTCTCTACATTTCGAAATTTGTTCATCTGTTACATAACAAAGCCTCTTCAAAAACATTTGAAAATGTCCTATTTGTGGGCAAAAATGGTAATTAGGTTTTGTTAAAAGTGTAAATGAAATGGTGGATGTTTTAAAAAATGAAAAGCATGCCTTATGAGCAAGGAGTTAAAACAAAATGCCGATTCTTCTCATTCCGTAGGGTAATATTTCAGATTCATTACTGGCCTTTCCAGAATGTTTTGAGCTGGTTTCTGCTGCACAAGTGCTTTGTGTGTGCTTGTTACTCTTAGCCTAATGTGACCTTGTCCATATGTTTCTGGAGCAGTCAATAATTTATACCATGTCTCTTCATTTCAGATGATCATGGGAACAGCAATGGCAGTCATGTGAAAATATTCTTGCCCAAGAAATTGCTTGAATGTCTACCGAAATGTTCTGCTTTACCAAAGGAAAGACACCGCTGGAACACAAATGAGGTACTACAGAACCCTTGCTTTTTCCACCTCCCTCCAACTGATAATGGTGTAGTAATGTTTTCCACAATATCCATAATGGATAAGTTATTGAAGTGGCGATGCTCATTAGTTTGAGTTAATTTAGTGGCTGTTGTAAGAATTGGATGCAAGTAACAGAAGAGTTGGTATTCCAAGTTATGGCTTGGTTTTCCTGACAACTTTAAATCATTACAACCGTCCGATGTATACAGTCGAAAGCTCACTCCTGCAACCTTATGGGGAATTAGCAGGGTAGTTTGTACTGATTAAAACTGTTCAAGATTTTTGCTTCTTGATCAATGATAATGGAGATTCTACCATGATCAGGGGACTGGCTTGGGATGACTGTATTGTAGATCTCTGTAATTTCATCTGACAAACTTGCCTAGGTTGTCATTTTAAACAGGACCTGAGACTAATGAGCTGAATTAAACAGTGTCTGAGCAACAGCCCAAACTAAATGAGGTTGAACAAAATACTGCCTGCACATAGGTATGCAATGCTTGTTACCTTACTCTTGGTAAATGTGGCGTTCCCATCTGTGCCAGGTTCTGTCTTGCTTGAACAGATGTCTTTTATCATGTGGAGAGAAAAACAAAAATTGGTCATAATGCACCATTAAAATTATTTTTACATGAACAAAATAGGAGATGAGAACATTAGCCCTTTCTTGTTCAATCCCAATGTATTTTGTAAAGTGTACGTCTATTATGAACACTTCTTGCACTGAATTGTACACTAAAAGTAAATTCACTGTAGCCAGATGTCCTACTTTTTGGCGATGTGGCATTTGCGGTATGAAAATGTGGTTTTCTAGAGATCTAGAAATGCAGTCTGAACCCAAAATCCAGTTTTCCAACTGAATCTTTTTATAATAACGAGACTGGTAATACGCGATTGGTTAAAATAAACTTGAGCCATATTTAATAGATACATTACAATAGTTTACTCAGAACAGGCAACAACCTCTCATGTTCAAACTGATGCACTCCTTAGGTGATGAGAGAATCAGCTGTTGCATTGCACTGAAGGACATTGTGGCTGCTTTCTGTTCAATGGGGTCTGTGTCATATTGCATAGTGGTGATTTGCATTTGAGTGATTTGTCATATTCATGTTGTGTTCACAAATAGTCTTAACAATGCAACATACGTACTTTCACCTTATGAATGGTTTCGGTATATTTCTTGTCACTGAATTTACTACTGTTCGTGTCTATAAACAATCATTTTGTTTTCAAACGCGACTTTCTTTGTTGTTTGAAGAGAAAAAATCGTATCGGGGTTGACAGTGATGGAGAATGCAATATTTCTGGCTGCCTGCAATGACATTAACGAGTGTTCTTTGATAATTCCCAATCTCAGAACAATGGATCCTCCTTCATTAGGTGTAATGAGAATTTTATTTAACTCTTCAGTCAGGCATCCTGCACTCTCAGAGGTTGCATTGTATTGCTGAATCTTGCAAGGTGAAAAGCATAATGCATTCAACTCTAATTAGAATTATGTTAGAAAATATGTATTCCCGGTTTGGCAATAATGAAGCTATCTATGCAGACTCTTAACTATATGAATATACTCTTGCTCTGTTGTACGTGTAATCTTTTTATTTACCCTTTGCTGTTGTGATGATATTCAACATGAGTGGTGTTAAGCTGCTTATCGCGATCTGAGCACAAGTTCTACACCTTTCGCCAGCCATTGATTGATAGTGCCCCAAATTTGTGCTGAAATCAAGGCTTATGGAATGAGCATGTTTCACTTCTCTGTCTATTGTGTTGGGATAATTTGCTCTAAATAGTCATGAGACCTATCTATGTATTCCCATTAGTTTAATGCATAAGTGTAGACAAATTGCTATTTTATAATTTAGAGAAAGTGATCATTTTTATTAAACCTAGGACAGACTGAGAAGGAGATTGAAAATATGGGCCTCAGGAGTGAGATCAGGATTTATTCGTGATTTTCACCACTAGCCTGAGCTGGAGAACATATATATTGGTGTATAAACTACATGCACCTAAAATTTCTTGAGTAAAGACATAAATTGTCTTCATTGGTTGGTCTCTGAAGAAGAAGCCAGAGTGAATCATATTTATTTACTGATCGGTAAACTCGTTGTGTGTGATAATGGCCAATGCCCACAGTACTCTGGAGGAGACTTACCATTGTATTTATGGTGGTAGGAATTTGAGATTCATTGACTTTCTAACAAACTCAAACTAATGCAGAGATGTGTTTCAGGAGCTGGTTAGTCAGTGATCTTGAGTTGCTCAGTTGAACAGATGGACTTGATTGACTACGACAAATTAGCATTAAAATGTGACATCTATAAGCGCATGAAATGGGATATCAATCAAGTGAGGCCGTATTTAACTGTCAGGAAGTTGATAGGAATCCCTTCTACTGTATTGCTTGAGTAATCCCTTGATTGACAAGCAGAGGTATTTGATCTGTCTCATTAAGCATTCGATTGAAGTTTTCTTTCTCGTTGTATCTTTTGTTAATCTGATTTCCGAAAATTGACTTTTTTGATGTTCCGTGTCTCACTTGCTTGATTTAGTGGCATCTCCATATTGCACTTGTAGGTATTTTGCTTGTCCCGAAATTTAAAGGTTTTTTTTCTGGTCTCCAGTGTGAATTACATACCTTATCACAGAATGCTTTTGGTTCAGTATCTTTGACCTTAATGAGCCCAGTACTACGTACAAGCGAACTTGAGGATAGACCAGGATGAATTGTAAAATACCCAGAAGATTCCTCTTTGTAAGAGCACGAACCAAACAACTCGTTACTTGTGAGTTTGCTTCAGCCTGATGAGTGAAATGAGCTGGATGTTTTGCTTCGATGCCCATTGCATTTGTTTTGTACAAAAAGTGTGGGATCATTTGTATTAAATTAACTGTTTTAGTTGGAACAAAAACAGAGATCAGATCTATATCTTCCATTAAGCTCTGACTGTCCACTATCTCAAAAAATCTTGAAAAATGTAGATGAAATAAAATATTAATGATGTACGCTCTAGATATCATTAAATTCACTAAGCATGGACATACCCTGAATATTTAGCTCTGAAATCAAAACAAAATTGGACTGTTGAATTTTTCTGTTATGTGAAAAGCCTTTTTGCTGCTACACTTCATACAAGTGGCTATAAGTGTACTTCTACAAGAGCATGCATATCTAGTGGATTTAAGCCAGTGGAGGCGGGGAGGGAGAAGGAGTAGGTCTAGTTGAGGTATATATAAGGTCATGTGATACAATTTCATTAATGTGCTGATATCTGATTTTCAAACTGGATTGATGAAAAGAGTTGCTTCTGAATGTTGATGCAGATGAACAGAAATTATTTCTGAACAAAACCCAAAATACTGCAGATGCTGGAAATCTGAAATAAAAACAGAGAGAGCTGGGAAAACTCAGCAAGTCAGGCAGCATCTATGGAGAAAGGAAAATGAGTCAACGTTTCGGGTCCACGACCTTTCGTCAGAAACTCATTTCCTTTTGTAGTGAGTGACATTGTCAGAAGCCTGAGAATATGTTGCTTGCTAAGCTTCTTGACTGAAAAAGGTGTAGTGTCCATAGAGACCAGAAGAGAAGTAGAGGATAGCATAACCACAAATCTAGAAGGTAATGAGTGTAACATACAGAGGACTATGTCCATCATTTTTCAGCCAGAGCACAAACTACTGTTTTTAATTAGATATTCAATAAGTAAAATAAGTTATTGTTTGGGTTTGAATTGTTTAAAGGCAGCTAATTTTCATTTAAATGGTGGATCCTGCAATACATTTTATTAATGTTGTACTAATGTTTATATGAGGGCAATTTTTAATGATTTTTTTATGTCCTAGAATAACCCAAAAATTTAGTTCCTTGGGCCTTTTTTTNAGAAGACCAACTTCCGTTTTAAGCTGTAGGTGCTAGAGATGTTTTGCTTGAAAAAAACATGAATGATATTGGTGAGCAGTCAAGTCTGCACTGATTTCTGGTTGACCCACTGACAAGGGGATGAATTGGCTTCGCTCCTATTCTGCAGGATAGGACACATAACCACACGTCTGTCGTAGTTTAGGTAAAATTGCTTTTTTAATGAAGTGTTCCCTACTGATATAATCTTTTACAGAGGGATGAATCTATAGGCCAATGGGAATAGAATGTTCGAATTATACCAACCTGTTAACACGTCATGTTTTCAGCTAGCTATTTGCTGACATGATGTGTTTCCAGTGACTGAGCTCAACTACCAATTGAAGGAAATAAAAAAAATTGCAGTGCGGGTAGGAGAGCTTTCCTTTTGATCTATTGTTCTTTCATGCCTTGCATTCGTTGCTTTCATAAAAAGTTCCTGATTTTCCCTTTTCATATTTTCCTCTGATATTCCTAATATACAATTCAAAGCCCGTCACATGTAGCAATCTGCTCCTTTATGCCAATTCATTTCAGAGACTGTTAGTAATATTTTAATTAAGTATTCCATTTGGAACAGCAGTAATGAGTTGGCAAGCTGCAAAGTCGTGGAAGCAGAATGAATTGCTGCCCTTGGTTCACACACTCGCATGTATATATTCTATTGATTACAATTCAGGCAGAGCAATGACAACTGTTAATCAATGCCAGGGCATTAGATTCGTATCTTTAAATAGAAGTGTCAAGGAATGCTGCAAAACTTTATTAGCCTTACAAGCAAACAATCCACGAACCAATATAGGTGAGACAAAATCGCCTAGAGCTTGTAACATCCCCTCCTTCCCCACTCTCCTCTTCCAACATTGAATGATAACAAGCCATTGATCTGTGGAGGCTTTGCTATATTCTTTAATAAAATCTTATTCCTCCATCCACCGGAAAGGAGAGGAAGGGAGGGACTGTTGTGTTGGATATCAGCATTGCTGCATCTGGTTCATTGGAAAATTGATCATATATTTAAAGTACTCAAGTCCCAGTTTTCTGCCCCCACCAGTACTTGACTCTGCATATGGGG